CTTCTTCCTCCCTAAGTTTCAGCTCATCAGGAGGATGGTCTGCTGACTGTTCATCCGACTCTGACAACCTGAGGGCCTTGCCTCCATCAATGGGAGCTTTGTCATGCTTTTCAGTGAAAACAAGGAAGGGCTCTTATATAAGTAGCACACACATCTCTTTCTTTTCTTTCTTTTTTAAAAATGCAACCTTATTTAAATGTAAACACAACAGCTTGATTCAAAATGTAAATGCAGTAAGCTGCAGAGGAGGGGGGGCAAGTTGTAGCCCTACATATTTTGTGGGACTCCATCAACCCCTGCCCAGCATGGCCAATGGTAAGGGAAGGTTGGTGTCATAGGGATTTAATCACTGCACATGTTCCATTAGCATAAGGATTTATACTTGTATATTGGAATTTACTGCCTCTCCTCCCCCTTGTGTGCATTCTGCATCATCTAACAATCTTCTCAAGAGAACTGGAAAAACACCTACAACAAATTTTCAGGGTGAACATGGAGAGGAGGGGAGAGTTCTGTTGCACAAGCGTAATGCCTTGCTCTAACATAATGAGCTACTTTGTACTACACTGGATTCAAGCCAAAAACCAGCCAACCCAGAGGGCCACAGGTCCCATCATCCTGCAACCCAGGTAGTGACTTGAGGTGAGCTACTGGATCCATGGGAAGAGCAGGAGTCAGAACCAAGGTGCAAGCCATACCCTGGAGCTGCAGGATGAGGCCAGAGTTCCATACAAGAATGCGCTTGACCTCATGAAGGCTTTGCCTCTCAGGCAATGGCAAAGCTCAGACAGGAAATTTAGGTAGTCCTTCCTGTCCAGGATGGTCCAACACCCATCTTGAGTAGCTGAGGTCAATCCAGAGCTTTGACTCACAAGTCCGATGTGCTCAAGCCTGCAGTCTTGTGGCTCACCACACAATTTTAGCCACATGGAGATCCAAAGATTCCCTAGCAACTGTAGATTTGCTGTAAGATGCTGTAGAAAGGGGCAATGTATTGGTGGCCAAAGACTGCCTTCTCTAGCCTGGAGGCCTCCAGATGTTTTGGGCTTCAATTCCCACCAGCCCCAGTTGCCCCAGCTGTGCTGGCTGGGTTAATGGTAGTCATAGTCCAAAATATCAAGAGAGCACCAGGTAGGTAAAAGTAGCCTAAGCCTTAATGTGATGAAGTAAGAGGAGGTAACAGGTGATGAGGGACTACCTTGGCACAAGAAAGGCCTCACAGGGCTCTCCTAAACTAAAAATGGTGCAGGGAACATCATTTCCTGATGGATATTGAGCGTCTAGCATTGGTCTTGCTGTGTGGGAATAAGCCTTCCCCACTGCCTGGCACTCTCCCATTCTCAAAGCCATACTTTTGAGAGTTGATATTTCATTCCCTTCCCAGCTGAAATCTTAAGTCATCCTCTGGGTACATATCAGCAACGTGTTCCAGACATGGGGAAAATAAGTCAACATTAGCAATTCCCATTCCATTTCCATCAGAATTCTCCAAAAGCCCTAGAAAGAACATCTATCATTGATGACCAAATACCAAGGCGTGATCCAACTGTTACTTTAGGGGGTGGGGACAGCCTACATAGTCATTATCTTGAGGGGTGGGGCTCAGAATTCAATGTTTTGCTTGTGTTAATAGAAAACAATAGCGGCCTAAGAGGGGGCACTTTCCATGGCAGCCCTCAAGCTGTGGAATTGCCACCCCACAGAGATGCCTCCACCATCCACATTATATTGTTTTTGTCATATGCTGAAGATAAGCCTCTTTACCCTGGCCTTTGACACCACACACACACACACACACACACACACACACTGAACTGTAATTTGTTTTACACTGGTTTTAATATTGTATTTTTAAATAGCTGCAACCTGCCCTGGGTCCTAACGGTAAGAAATCTAAGAAGAAGAAGAAATACTACTATTATCAACAACACTTTACCACTGGGCAACAACAACTCTTCTTCATAGTATGAACAATTGTGGTGAAGATCTTGAATTTTTAGAATGTATCATTCCAACTTCTTTAAATTGTCCCCCTCACTCAATGACAACATCACTGGCAATGTTTACCCACATCCTCAGTGTGGGGCAGTCATGGACCCCAGAGCTGGATTCTCCTTCCTCAGGGCATGGAGGTCAAGCATTCTGAACCAGAAGGGAAAGAGTACACAGGGCCTCCTCCCACCATCTCTGGGGATAGTGTTTCTCCAGCATGAGGATGTGGCACTGCTGTCCCCAGTCTGAGTACTCCATTGCAGAAGCTGAAGTGGGACCCCAAACTTTCCAACTCTATTGCAGTAGGAAAGTACTGGAGCATGATTGATGATGGCTGGTGCCTACTGGGATGTGGAAGTAAGGCCAAAGGTTGGAGGCAGCGACAGGCAGAGCCAACTAATTTCAATTTTGTCCCCCTCTTCTTCCCTGTTGAGTTGCACAAAGGCAAACTAAGATTAAGGAGGAGGATGCTGAAAAGCAGTGCCACACCCTGGGCTAGATGTGAAGAAGACAAGGAGGAGGAGGAGGAGGATTCTCAAAGTGGCTAACAACAATCTCCTTTCCCTTCCTCCCCCACAAAGGTGAGCAGTGTGGGGGCACTGAAGTTGGTTAGGCAGTGCCCCACTTGCTCTAATGGACCAGTCTCCCTGGTCACTATCTCCACTGAAAACTGAGTGAAAAGTAAACAGAAACATGAGAAACTGCTTTATCCAGAAACTCCCAGGTTCAACCCCTAGCATCTGCTGCCTGAAACCCTGCAAACCAATTCCAGTCAGTGTGGACAAAACTGAGCTAGAGGAAACAAATAGAAGGTGACTTCTTATGCCCCCCACTGCACCTGACACTGATGCCAATGTGCTAAGGCAGTAGTTTTCAACCTGTGGGTCCCCAGATGTTGTTGGACTACAACTCCCATCATCCCTGAGCTCTGGCCTTGCTAGCTAGGGATGATGGGAGTTGTATTCCAACAACACCTGGGGACCCCCAGGTTGAGAACCGCTGTGCTAAGGGAAGGTGCAGACCAGAGCCAGTGTACTGTTGTCTGTTTGTCCCACTCCAGTGCGAGTCGTTCCCTGCTCTGACTGACCGGCTGCTATTCTCCAGGATCTCAGGCTAAGAACCATCTTTTTCATCACTTACTTCCTGATCCATGGTACCTGATACCTGATACACGGGTGGCGCTGTGGGTTAAACCACAGAGCCTAGGACTTGCTGATCAGAAGATCGGCGGTTCGAATCCCCGCGACGGGGTGAGCTCCCGTTGCTCGGTCCCTGCTCCTGCCCAACCTAGCAGTTTGAAAGCACGTCAAAGTGCAAGTAGATAAATAGGTATCACTCCGGTGGGAAGGTAAACGGTGTTTCCATGCGCTGCTCTGGTTCGCCAGAAGCGGCTTAGTCATGCTGGCCACATGACCCGGAAGCTGTACGCCGGCTCCCTCGGCCAATAAAGTGAGATGAGCGCCGCAATCCCAGAGTCGGCCACGACTGGACCTAATGGTCAGGGGTCTCTTTACCTTTACTTTACCTGATCCTTTGAACTTGGGGGAACGTTCTGCATCCCAATCACCTGCTCTTTGGGGCTCCTGAAATGGAATTTGAGTGCTATTTGGAATGTACTTGCCCATCTCAATGATGCCAGTGCTGCCAATGGAAGATTAAACAGTTCCCTCCTTTCTGGTGGCATCATGCCAAAGAGACATAGAAAACTGGAATCTGGATTGTACCCTTTTTTTTTTTTTTTGGTCTTCAAGGAAGGAAAGAAGGAAGGAAGGAAGGAGGGGATGATTCTCCAGCCCCCGCCTCCTCCCTCCCTGCTACCCCTGGCGCGCTACTCAGGCGCTTCTCTTTAACGAGCAGCTCCAAATGACAGCTTTAATCACTGCCTCTGGCCACTGAAAGAGGACGCTAATGATAGGAAAGAACAGAGAGCCATTTGCATCAATCAGCTAGGGTCTAAATCACTTTTTATGATAATGCGCCGAAGCGGAGAAGAGTGTCTCTGATGTCTCCTGCATGATGATGTACTGCAGGGCTGTCTCCTCTTCTCAGACCTCCACATAAATCTCTGAAAGATGCCCCCCACAGCCCCGCCCTGCGCCAGGCAAAGATGGGCCTATTTTCTACACCATTAATGATCTACCACAAGGGTAGAGTCAGAAGAGGTTAAGCAATCAGTTCGCTCGGCTCCTGCTTTCCGTGGGCAAAGCCCCACCTCTAAGAAAGCCCGATGGTGTGTGGCAGGGCAGGAGGGGGGTGCAGGAAGAGAGAGAGAGAGAGAGAGAGAGAGAGAGAGAGAGAGAGAGGGAGAGATCCCTTGAACTGAGCAGCAAGAAAAGCCAAATCTTGCAAGCCAGAAAATCCAAGGCAAATGTTGCAATTCTATTTCTGTGGTTTGGGGACTAATAGATGGGCAACAAAAGCAAGCTCTGCAAGCCCTTGTGGTCACAAAGAGACCTAAACTGCAAGCATAAAATACCCATCATCAGTGGTCTGATGCTTGCTTCTGTGCTTGAACACAGTATGTAGAACCGTCAGCCTCATTTAGAGATCTCTCTGGACATATGGACAGCTTACATTAATTTAAACATTTAAGTTAAGGTGGAGAGAATAGTTTCCTTGTTGATGTCAGCTGGCAAGATTGAGAATTTTTCTGTTATATTTGCAAAAGTTGCACACACACACACACACACATGTTTATGAGTTATGCACAATCAAACTAAAATTCCTAGCTTGTATTACTAGCACAGACTGGCATGGCGGGCACAAATAAAACCACCACCATCACATAGAATTGTAGAGATGGAAGGGACCACAGAGATCCTCTGGTTCAACCCCCGGCAATGCAGGAATCCTTTTCCCAATGTGGGGCTCAAACCTATGGCCTGAGATTCAGAGTCTTATGCTCTAGTTATTGAGCTCCCTCCCCCCCCAAGAGAATTCAGGGTTTTGTTACAGTGAGTTTCATGGCCCGAGTGGGCATTTGACCCTGGTCTCCAACATCCTCCTGGTTCAGCACTCTAGCCACTACTCCATGCTGCCTCTCTTATTCTATATGGGGGGGGGGTAGCAAGATCTATAGCTGATGCAAAAGTAATGGAACACAGAGAGTCAGAGTGGAGCAGTGGTTAGAGTACCAGCCTAGGACCTGGAACCCAGGGCTGAAATCCCCACACAACCATGGAGATAACCGGGTGGCCTTGGACCAGTCGCTGCCTATCAGCATAACCTACCTCACAGGGTTGTTGTGAGGATGAATGAAGGGGGGGGGGTAAATGTGAATACAGTGGTACCTCAGATTGCAGATGCTTCAGGTTACAGACTCCACTAACCCAGAAATAGTACCTCGGGTTAAGAACTTTGCTTCAGGATGAGAACAGAAATTGTGCTCTGGTGGTACAGCAGCGGCAGGAGGCCCCATTAGCTAAAGTGGTGCTTCAGGTTAAGAACAGACCTCTGGAACGAATTAAGTACTTAACCTGAGGTACCACTGTACCACCTCGAGCTCCTCGGATAAAACGTGGGATATAAATGCAGTGATAAATAAATAAATTGCCTTACTAATACAACCACAGAGTTGAAAGAGACGCCAGGATTCATCTGATCCAACCTATGCCAATCAATGCAGGAAATCCATTACCACATCATCCCTGATTGGCCGCACTAACCACCTGCTGCTCAAAAACATCTAGCAAAGGAGATCCCAACATCATTTGGGACTGTCTGTTCCACTGTCAAACAACCACCAGAACATTCTTTTTAATGTTCAGTCTAAATCCATTTTCCTTTTCTTGGGGGGGGGGGGGTAAACTTGAAGCTAAATCTCTTTTCTTGTATTTTGAGTCCATACATAGAAACGCAGAGTTAGGAGGGTCCTCAATGGTCATCTAGTCCAATGCAATGCAGGAATCACAGCTAAATAATCCCCGGCAGACTAGATGACCCCCAGGTCCAAAGCTACAATTCTGTGATTCTAGGGGGATGGAGATACCAATGGCATCTAGGCCATCCAGAGCCCCAGCATGCTAGTTTTACAAATTAAGCCTTCGTCACAGGATCAAGCCGTTAATGCACTAGTCAAAGAAGAAAGATGATTTTGCCAGCTGTAGCCCTGGTAAGTTTTCTTTTTAATGACTCTCTCTTAACAGCTTCCCCCCTCCATTACATTGCTTTTTATTACCAAAAGGAGTTGGGGAGGGGAATAAAATCTTCAAAAGTCCATTTGATCCGCCAGCATGATGTTCTCTGTCCACCAGGAGTTCATTTAAAGCACTGCCGTGAAGACAACAGTGTCTGCGTGGCTCATTTTCATGTCAGCCGCATACGATTCCTTAATGTTGCTTTGCTTTGCTTAAGCGGAATGCCTGGCGCATAAAAGCTGGAAATATACAAGCAGATCAAATGCACCCTTTGAAGTGTATTACAATGAAATATCTCTTAAAATGCACACACGCTACAAACACACAAAAGGGGGGGCCTGCCTATTAAACAGCTAACAATATCTACATTGCATTTCGTTTTATTCCTCTCCCCCTCTGGTGAGCCAAAAAGAATAAGCAGGGAGGTTGATCCCTTACAGCTCTAACCTGTGTGATAAATCCTATTTCAGCAATAACAACAAAACCAGCACTCCTTTTTTTGTGTGTGTGTGGGGAGATGCATCTAGCCTTCAACAATGCACTGGTGAAGAGTGGAAACTGTGCCGACAGATCAAATGAAGTCTTTGAGGTTTATATCTTAAAGTAAGGGAACCAATACATCAAGATCGATCCCAACACTGAACTTGGTGGGGTATTGTGTGGGGAGCTGCAACACATTTTTAAAGGAAAACCTGATTTCCGTCCTTGGGTCTTATTATTCAAGCACCATGAGATCTTATTATTCAAGTTTCTTCTTGGGGAGCAAAGGTCCCAATCAAATAGAACGTTAAGACCAGTTTCTCATTTCCCCACTCCTAAGCTCCATTCTTCACATCAGTTTGCAATAATAACAGAAGAGGTTTGCATGGAAATTCATCGGTATTTTAGTGTGACTCTTTCCAAATATCCAGTTTACCATGCAATTTTTTGCTTCATTTGCACATTTCTGCAAACCAGTTTTCCCCCAACGTAATGCATGTTTTATGCACATTTTTGCACCCAATACTTGGCTGGGGAACTGCATTACAAAATTCAAAGCAGCGTGATGTCTGAAGGATGGTTGTGTTTTGGTTTGTGTATTGTTTTGGAAAGTGGAAATTGGGCAGGTTCACTTTTAAATGCAAATTGAATTATTTTTTCCTCCATTCTTCATTATGGTTGTCGCTTAATTAAAAGAAAACCTAGTTGGTTGAGGGACTCATCGTAGGCTTCCTGGGAGAGCTAATGCCAGGCTATGGAGTGAGGTGGGAATGACCTGGCTATCAGGTTAAGTTCAAGGTGTTGGTTTTGGTGCATAAAGCCTTATACAGCTTGGGAGCCAAAATGGTTAATCATATAGAAGTTGTCATTGGAAAATAAAATCCCTAAATACTGGACCACCTTCTTCTTTAACCTGAAATGTAGTTTGTTTTCTTCCAAACTTTTGCGTTGTTCTCCTGACAAACAAAGAGCCAGTAAGTCTGTTTCGCATACATTGCAGGGTTGTATTTTTTTCACTGTTTTATCTTTTTGTAAACCACGTTGAGGTTTGGTTTGGTTTTTAACAATCAAATGGCGTACAAAATTCATGAAATGCATACATACACTTCACAGCCTGCCACTTTGCCAAAGTTTCTGGCAAGATTCATAAACTCAGACAATGGATTACCTGGATCTAGGTCACCAACATCATTTTAATGGCACTCTTATTTTCTGAATTCTTAACTGGATTATAACATTACCTGCTCTGAGATCACCTATCGTGAAATGTGGAATATAAATATAGAATAAAACAAACAATGCCCTGTACTGGATAGTCCCTCCCCACATTTAGTAGCTGACCATTGTGTACTTAGTGTCTGAATGTGGCTTCTATGTGTGTTCAACTGAGTGAGCATTGGAACATGCAAAAAACAGGGGATGGACGGGGCATGCTGAAAAACCAGGGGGCGTAGGGGGCAGGGTGTGCATGTGCATCGCTAACCCCTCCTACAGATTGAGCCCCTGTGTGATCAGGCAAAATGCTGAAATAGGGCTCAGGTGGAATCTTGAAACCTACCCAAGCCACCCACCTTGGTACAGTGGTACCTCTGGATGCGAATGAGATCCATTCCAGAGCCCTGTTTGCATCCTGAGAAGAACGCACCCCGCGTTTGCGCTTCTGCACATGACGCCATTTTGAGTGTCTGCGCATGCGCGAGTGGTGAAACCCAGAATCAACCCGTTCCGTTACTTGTGGGTTGCCGTGGAAGGCAACCTGAAAACGTTCAACCTGAAGCATCTTTAACCCAAGGTATGACTGTACTCAAATGGCTTGGCTACCAAACAAATCAGTTCCCAAATGCCGCATACCCGGAAGTAAGTGTTCCGGTTTGCAAAAGTTTTTTGGAAGCTGAACGTCCGACATGGCTTCCACCTGAGTGCAGGAAGCTCCTGCAGCCAATCGGAAGTTGTGCCTTGGTTTTTGAACGGTTTCGGGATTCAAACCAACTCCCGGAACGGATTAAGTTCGCGAACCAAGGTACCACTGTATTACATTTTTTTTGGGGGGGGTACCTCTTTGGGTGCAATCATTATTAGTTGTGTACAGCATGCAAACATTGAATCCCATTTGAGAGGGGAAGATACTATTCCCCGCTGACTCCATCGTGCCCCTCCTGCTACCCCATAGATTGCTTTGATCGCAATATTGCTGGATTTCCGATGAATAGCACAGATCAAATCAACATACACTTGAACGCTTCTCACTCATCCATTTAATTTGCCACTAGTCACCTACGGTGAAGCTAATTGTATAGAAAAGTCAGAGTATTGAGAAAACATTACTCATGGCAAGCAACTACCCAAAGGGATTCTGGTGCAAGCCTACTTCTTAATGTAATCTGTAAAACTCAACAGCCCCAGAAATGTTATACATTTATTAAGCATTGCACTTTGTGAAGAAATATCTGAAAATGGGGAGGGGCCGTGGATTGATGGTGAGATTCACACTTGGGTCAATGGTCTGACTCAGTGCGAGGAGCCTATATAGGCTCAAGCCACCCAGTTGTATGAAGCAGGCTGTATTCATACAGCAGTTCATTCAATTTCCCTGTTTGCCTAACTGTTAATTTCCATATTATATTTTAGCTTTTATGTAATGTAAAAGCCACTTCCAGAAAGTGAATGGAATATAGAGCATGTTTTACACCTATTTCCATGTTATTTGATTCCATTTTAAAAAAATCCATTTGCAACCCCCTTAAGCCTTTACACTTGTGGGAGTAAAGTGACAAAATTTGGGGTGGTTTACTGGCATACAGTTCTTTCCTATTTTTTCCATAGTGGATGCGGAGGAATGGTGAGAGGAACCAGCTGGGGAACCCCTAAGGGAAGAAGGCAGTGGGACGACGGTGTGTGGTCAGAGAGAGGAGAGGGAGAAAATTGGGTGGAGGTGGTGCTGGAAGCTGAAGAGGTAACAGGGTTTTGTGAACAGGGAGAGTCTGTGGCAGACAGAAGTCTAGAAGCAGAAGCAGAAGCGGGGGAGGAGGGAGGCCAAGAGACAGAGATGAGTTGAGCTGGTGAAGAAGCCAGGATATATTCCCCTCCTGCTGTGACAATCTTCCCCCAGCCTCGGACTCCCAAGACCAGGAGAGGTATGAAGTGTGCGGAACAAAGACAGGCATGCTGGTGTGTAGTCTCAGATTGCTTGGGAAAGACCTGAGGGAGGAGGAGACTTATACAACTGTGGGAAGGTGGGGACCATGCATGCTATTTTGTGTAAACAATCCCCCCCCCAAATAATGTACATTTGCATGTATTTTCACCAATATTTGCATTTATATGCACACTTTATTTCCCTATATGCATTTTTTTGTTCACAATGCTTGCCTAGAGAATCACATTGCAAAATTCAGAGAAATGTAAATTTTGAAGACTTTCTGTGTTTCAGTTTGTGCATTGTTTTCGGAAATGCAATTTAAGTAGTTTTGCCTTTAAATGGGAACTGAATCCAAGTCTTTCCCCCACCTTCCCATTATTA